ACTGGTCGCAAACTAAGATCATCATAAAGTTCTAGGAGTAAGTATGTTGAGAAACACAATCGTTCATATTTCTGAAATATGAAGTCTGTATATAATATAGATAAATAATTGTAGATAGTACTAATAATGTTAAATTAGGTAATACTTTACCTCTAAGCAACTCAAATCTTTTTCTTCGGTAATTGTTGAAGCTATGGGGCATAATTTGTGTATATCTATACCTACACCAGGTAGTAGAAAAGGTTTGATTCCAATTAATATTACAAATTCCACAGCTATTTTCACAGAATGATATTGATTCACATTAAAAGATGCATCATCTACATTTATATTTTCTTGCTTGATACCACGCAATATATAAGTTAATATATTAAGATATTGTTGTCTATAAATAAAACAAATATATTATTTAAATATTTCTAATCTATATAGAATTTATATAGTACTTCAACAATACCAAATTATACCTCATAGACAAATTTTCGATACATTGGATATCTTTTGGCAAAAGTGGCTTTACCTTCTGAATCATTTGTATCATCTTATCATCAAAATTTGTAACCTGATCTATAAATATAGATTTAGATTAAAAAATATGCTATGTATTAGCTGCGTTCAATTTAGGTGCTTGCATACTGTAAGCTGTAAACTCCATTCTATTTTCCTTCCACAAATAACGTGTGTAAAAACTGAAGAAAGAGAGAATAAAGCTCACAGCGCATGAACAACCAAATTGAAACTGAAGTCTTAATTATTATTGTAATATTATCTTAATATTGTAATTAATTGAATCTATTAACGAAATATATACAATCTTACCATCAGCATTGTATATCAACTTGGATAATATTTCATTGTAATCCATTTTCCTTTACACTTTTATTCAACAAAAAATCTTGTGAATTTTGTACATGCACATTTGATATTTCTGTTTCTATTCTAACGTAGTGACAACACTAGCTCCAGTTCAGCTGATCGTCTTAAAGCTGATTCCACATTAAATTTAGGTTCTATACTCCATCCACACTTTGCGCAGCTTGTGATCACGTGGGCTATAGTGGGGAAAACTCAAATGCAATTCACCCTTCGTAAGTTGCTGCCTGCTTCTATTAATGACGTGGGGGTAAAATGGGCGATTAGTCTACGCAAACCGGACAAAAATTCGTCCGACGAGTAGTTTTTCTCTCCGTGGACGGAGTATATATTAAGGTATCTTTACATGAGAGCGTCAAGCGTCGAGTGTCAGAGCATGCAGTGATATGTTAAATAATTTTATTGAAATGAATTGGATCTATGTACAATATGTACATTGGATCATACATTGGGCACATTCAGCAGACTCAACACTTAGCAAACGAGAATGGATTGAAATGAATTAAAATGGATTCAGATTTTCAGAAATACGGATTCATGAATGTTAAAATGAATCCTTCTCAATCTTGAATGCATTTTTATTCATTTATAGGAATGACATGGAGTATATTTCTATGCTTTTCAAAATAATATTATAGTATTTTGTTTGTGTGCGTGTCGTGTGCGTGTCGTGTGCGTGTCGTGTGCGTGTGCGTGGCGTGTCGTGTGCGTGGCGTGTCGTGTGTGTGGCGTGTCGTGTGCATGGCGTGTCGTGTACGTGTGCGTGTCGTGTGCGTGTGCGTGTCGTGTGCGTGTGCGTGTCGTGTGTGTGTGTGTGTGTGTGTGTGTGTGTGTGTGTGCGTGTCGTGTGCGTGTCGTGTGCGTGTGCGTGCGTTCGTGCGCGTATCGTGAAACTACTTAATTTAAAATTCTGAATAAGAAATGCAGTTTTTCAATCCAGTTGAATATAAAAATAATATCAGTCATTTCCATATATTGTGAATGCTGCTAAATTCAAAATTCTGAATAGGAAATGCAGTTTTTTAATCGAATTATATATATAAAAGTTTTTCTTTTAATAGCTCATTTTCTTAAAATAGACCATGAATACTATTCAATTCAAATTGTGAGTAGAAAATCCATTGTTTCATTTAAAAATGTATTATGAATGCTCTATTTTATTTTAGAATTATGAATAAAACATTTTTCGTTTTATTTCAGTCGAGTTAAAAAAAAGTTGTGCCATTAAAATATATCATGAATTCTACTTCATTTAATATTTAAAAAAGATTTAAAAAAACTACGTAATATGTATAATAAATGTTACATATGCAAATTCCTTATTTTTAATTAATATACATTAATCGCTTTTATGTATATTTTATATTAATACGTTTTCTTTATTACACAACTAGCGTAATTTTTTTGTATAAAAGTTTTAAAATAATAACTATAAAATTTCATGTGATTCCAATTACGCAATAATTTTCCCCCTATCAATAATGTTATTCGTCATATTTCGTCATGTCGTTATTATATTATAATTCAGAATTTCCACATTGTGACGCTAATTTATGATGCTAGAAGTCTCGATCTACCTACATCGACTTTCATAGGAGGAAAGTCTCACCGTTCATTTTACTAATTCAAAGAAGAATTGAGCCGGTTATAATCGTTTAATTTTATCGATTTCGTCCGTTGTATATCTTGCACGCTGGCGTCAAAATTTATTTTTATAGGGCCACACGGGAAACCGCGGCGTGGATTAGAAAGGGGAGAAATACACGCCGTAGCGGCGGAAGCTTGTCGCACAGTGACTCTCAAATAGTGGATTTCCCGAAGAGCGAAGTCGTATTTCGTATATACCGTTGAATATTGAAAACCTATATAATTCACGTTACATTACAACACACAGTGCTTACAAAGTGTTAAAAAAGCGTTAAAATTATATAAGCGCTTTGCAGCGCTGCTGCTTAGGTACTAATTAGGTTTACAATACATTCATAGTGAATATCGGGAATACCAGCATAATCAGTGCTAATGCCTGGTTTTCCTAAAAATAAAAAAAGATCTTCATTCTTGTCAAGCGTTCCCGACTGTAAAAATCCTGTCTTTTCAGCTGAAGATATAAAAAAAGGATATAAAATTCACATGAAAACTGCGTATAAATGGACAAAAAAAAATATTTGCGAATGTATTTTGTATAGTTATGTGCAAAATTTTAGTTAAAATTTGAAACAGCAATTTTCCAATTTTATTATTGTTAGCAATTTGATTTCTCAATAAAGTCTACAAGAATGAAAAATTAATATGGAATGAAAAATTAAAATGGATTGTGATCAAAATTTTAATTCATTTGAATCCATCCAAATACATACTTAAATATTCATGGTCCATTTCTACTTTTTTTAATTAGATGGAAAACTTTCTTTTAGATTCAATTAGATTAAAAAATCGCATTTTCTATTTTGAATTGAGAAATATTCACGAGGTACAGAAAAAAGCTGATATTATTTTTAGATTGAAAGGCATAGAAATATGTTTCATGTAATTTCTAAATGAATAAAAACGCATTTGAATTGAAAAGAATTCATTTGTTCGCAAATGAAAATCTAAATCCATTTCAATCCATTCTCGTTTACTAGAAGCTGAAAATATAATAAATAATTAGAGTTTTTTTTACATGATGAGTAAGTTTATGTTAAATAAAACAAACGTCTTTTTTTATTTGTATTTTATCGTTAAAGTATGTGCAAGACTTAAACAAATAGGAACAAACAAATAAATATTTTGGAAATATACAATGATTACTGATTTAACAAAAAATTAAGATATCAGTCTTAAATATTGTCTATATACAGGGTGTTTCTGAAATAATGCTGACTAATCATATAGTGCTATGCCTAATAAAAAACTGAGTCGAAAAATCCTGTACCATTTTGCAATTTTCGTAATAATTAATGAAATATTAATTTCTAAATTGCCAAATAAACAGAAAAATTAATGTATAAAATAATTTTAAGATATTTTTTAATGTTTTTTGTGAAATATTTTAAAGATGTTTTTTAAAGAACTCTTAAAGATATTTTAAAGTTGTCTTATACATCGATTTTAGACATTTTGGGTAAAAAAAATATTGCGAAAATTGCAAAATAGAGAAGACTTTTCGACTCAATTTTTTTATTAGAAATAACATTATATGATTAGTGGGTGTTATTTCAAAAATACTCTGTGTATGTAAAAAAGAAAAGAAAATTTTGTAATTTTAATAATTTGTAAGGGTGCTACTTTATTTGTGCGTTTTTGTTATATGACAAATATAAAACGGAGAATGTACTAAATGAAATAGCGATCTAAAAGTGTTTAACGTTATTTTGTTTAAATTCAATTTGCCTTACAAATTTTCACATTTTATAGATATATAGCACAAAAATAGATTTGATATTGATAGAAACACGATAAGAAGTTCAATTATTGACTCAATGTGGTTCATTCATATTTAAATAGCACGCATTCGCGATTACACATACGAATAAGCTACGTGTAAATGATAATGTGATGATAATAACGAGAATGGTTGCGCAGCACTGACGAAACGGACGTGCGACATCATTGGCGTAGAACGCTATACAATATATTATAGCTAGAAATATATCAATTTAAGTTCAGAAGAGAAAACTAATAAATGAGCGGTCAGTAATTTTTAATTTAATGTGATTAGTTCTTGCTTTTAAATCTTTGCTAAATCTAAGTGTAAAAATATATTAAAAAATCATTGAGCGTTTACTTATAGTTTTCTCTGCTGAATACAGCCATTATCACAAATTGTACATTGATTATAACAAACCTAATAATACAACTTAAAATACTCTAAAAAATAAATTTGAACATTTTAAACCATTAAAATATTGTAATATTAATTTTAAAATATGCAATTTTGATGAAATAATTGATAATTTATGTGATATTATATGTAGAAATAAAAGTATGTTTTTTAAAAATAGGTTTTTTACATTTTTTCTTTCTTTATGTTTTTTTTATTTGTAAGCAACTAAATGATAACTTTATAGTTATTGCAGTAAATAAACCTTTAAAAAAAAAAAGAAAAACAATGCAATAGTTTACATTGATCTTTTAATTGTTGTGAATGTTACTCGTATACTTTTAAATTGATTAATTCTTTATCTATTCTTTTGATGTGCGTCTTTAGTAAGAATGACAATATGAGAAGGAACCTTCCTTAAGCAAAAAGAATTTCCCAGAAGTATTCCGCGTATGTAATATCTTCCATATGGAGCTTTCAATGCTTGTTGCAGCATTTGGACGTTTTGATTCGCGTCGCGCCAATGCCGAGGATGATGGATCTCGACGAGAAGACTCGCTCGGACACGGGAGACACTTTAGTACTCCGCCAACCTCCCAGTACTGTGCGCGCACGTATGCTGATCGTGCTTTTTCACGGGGAAATATGATCCTTTGTACGCGGCGGCACGCGCCGCGATTTGCGAATGGAGTGAAGATCGCTGCGAGCCGCTGCACGTCGAGAATATCGAAACGCACCACACTTCATGCGACTCGCGCCAGCATGATCGCCGCGCGAATGGTTCTTGCGACCGACGAATCGGCACATTGATTAAATGCCTTCGATCAACGCAGAGTTACAAGGGCGCAAAGAACACTCGTGGGTGAATGTTTACGGCGAAGTGAAACATATATCGTTGCACTATTTGCAGTGTAATATTGCAAAATACAGAAATATGAAACGAGTCTTCGCGACAGAAATCTGACTGTCGCAAATTGATCGTTTTCTGCTTACTTATAGTAATGCAATACCGATCTATAAACTACAGAATGTAGTTTGTAAAGAAATCCAATTTGCGACAATTAGAAGAATGTACGATAAAATATTATTATTCTTCGAAAAGAAACCAAGACGTACAAGACCTCGCAAGATCTTATTTTTTTTTAATTGACACTTTTAATGACGAGAAATCAAGCTGAATTTTAAAATGGTTTTCGAGTTTTTATCATATATGTAACATTGTAGCAAATTTCCAAAATTATAAATCTGATATGTATTTCAAATAATAATATCCTAAAAAATTTATCATGCATAAATATGTATAAATATGTATAAACATACATAAACATGTATAAATATTCATACATAATTTTATATGAAATATGTCCATATTATACATGTTCATACATCTCTGTTTCTTTTGTAAAATTACTTTTTAGTATAATAGAAATAATAATAGTAATGTGAAAACATTAAAAATAATTAAAAGAGTAATTTTCACACTATGTTTTAGAAAAAATTAAGTTTGAAAAGAAATGTAAAAAAAAATTACTTGTACACAATTATACATTATTTTATATATAATTTCATAAGTAATATTTTTTATATTTTTTTTAAACTTGATTTTTTTCTAAAACAAATAATGTGAAAATTATCCTTTTAACTATTTTTAATGATTTCACATTACTATTATTATTTCTATTACACGTATTTCATATATGATTATACACATTTATAAATATTTATGTATGTTTGTACATATTCATGTATGAAAAATTTTTTACCAGAGAGTTTAATCCTAAAATAGAGCATCTGCACGTGTCTAAAGTCGGGATAAAAACGATATCTTTAAGACTAATATTACATTAATCCCTCATACTACGAATTTTTCAAACCTGTCGATTTCACTATAGGACGTCCGAGAATCTCTCTGTTCTGCAATCAATTAATAACGATTAAAAAATTTATCATACGATAAAAAACGTACGTGCTATCTGGATTATCTGCAGACTTAGTAGACTCTGTAGTATTATCTTATAATATACATATGAGATAAGCTTATCGGTATTAACACTATGAGTGTATTCTCCTGACTTTTTAACGTTTAAGCACAAAGATTTGTAATTGTTTCGGATAGAATCATAAATACGCAATCACATACACACACAACATAAATTCGCTAAGATTTCGATTAAGATCGAGATCGATTATCAAATAAGAATGGGATTTTATTTGTGCGTTTTTGTCGACAAATGTCTACAGAACAGAGAGGGAGAATCTTCGGATCTCTCTATCCTACAGCCAATCAACAGGCTTGAAAAATTTGTTGTATGACAAAAACACACAAATAAAATCCCATTATAAGGAAATAGACTAATTGGAATTATCGCTATATCATGCGCAACTATTTCATATAAAAAGTTTTATCATAACGATAGATTAGAGATATCATAAAGATATAATACAAATGACATACGTTTCTGCTAATCTTTTAGCCATTATCAGCAAACGCTTCTATATAAAAGAATACTTATTAAGGCGTGCTTATGACCATGGTCCTTACGAGGCAGTTAACCAATCCATTTTTAGAAAGTAATTTCAAATTTAATTGAAAGATTGAATATTACATATAACGTGATCAAATGATCTCACAAGTATGCAACGGATAAATATATTCGTATAAGATACAGATATTTAAGGCTATATTATGTATAATAATAGCAATATATAAAATATAAAATTGCAACTTAAAAGTATTTATAGCAAAGTGTGTAATTATATATATATATATCTATATCTATATATATATATATATATATATATATATAGATCGTAGTCATAAATTGAATTAGAAATCTATATAAAGTGACAAATAGATGTGTCAGACAGTTGCCATGTCAGAATTTAAACTCTGCAAGGCAACTGTTTGGCTCATTTACTTGTCATTTTGTATAAACTTTTAATCTGATTCAATTTGTGATTGCGATATATGTATATAATTAACAACTTTGTTATAAGTTTTTTTATTCTTGAGTTGCGATTTTATATTTTATATATTGTTGATGTAAACCATTAATACTCTTTTTCCTGGATGTACTCTTTTTTCAGGCGTCCGAGGACGTCCCGATGGATTTTCAATGTATACTCTTTTCTTACTACTTTGGGAACTTGGGAGCGAACGAAGGGATCGAAAGTTATTAAGTCACTGTGACACTGTCACACATGAAATATATTAACATATAGTACAGGATAAGCATAGAATAAGATATTAAGATCGCTAAACCAATGAGTATCCAGCATAAAAATGGCCATATTGATTTACATAAGATGCCCTGTTAGCAAAATGTTTGGCCAAATTGGCAAACTCGATCGAGATTTTGACTACAAAACCATAGCCATTTGTGTCTGCATTTGGCTGTAGATTGTCGACAAAGCCTGCTGATAGGCTATGTCAGCAGATTAGTGGCAGAAATCGAACAGAATTTGCTCGAATCTAGGTTGTGCTCTCAATCTGCCATCAAATTGCAAAACTTTGTTTGATTTCTGCTACCAATTTGCTGGTAAAGCATGTTTAGCAAGCTTTGTTATATTTCTGACAGCAATTTGCTAACAATATCAGATAATACAAACTCTGTGTACAATTTGTTATTTTTCTGCAATTAAAAATTGGTAGTAAAAAGGCCTGCTATCAATCTGTTTCTGCAGAGTTTGCTATCAAAATGCTAATTTTAAACATTAGGTTTATTCGCGTTGATTGTATAATACTTTTTGCACTTAGCATTTTCGCTTTTTCTTTTATCTCATTTTAGTTTAGAAATTTTTTACATAAAGTTGTTTAAAAGAAGTTTAAAAGAAATACAAAATAATACAAGTCTCAGACAATACTTACTTCTTCGTTTCTTTATTTTTTTGTGTTTATCAGTCTTCGTGAAAAAAATGGTAGTATACTTCTTTTCTTACGGATGTTCTTCACATGCATTATATCTGGTCACTCTATGTTGATGGCTGAAAGATCAGCCGAAACATGTGTCATTTGTATTATATATCTATTGTATCATTAATTACGATAAAGTTTTTTATACGAAATAATTGTATACAATTTACAGTCTCATTAGTCAATTTTTTACTTGATATATTTGTACTTGATATATTTTTATTTGATATATTTTTACTTGATGTATTTTTGGGAAATTTTATTTATAACTTCTAATTTTTTCAATTATGAGAATTATTGTGCCTTTTTATACTCAACGAGAAATATACATATATTGCGAGAATTGTTGCGAAACGCGATTATACAAACGTAGTCATCAAGAAGTCTATAATTTTTAACTGCACTATTCATTTAAAAAAGCAGTCTGTTTGTATTAATTAGAATTCTAATTAAAAATAGACAAATCAAAATTTTCTGGTTGAATTTATTAAAATTTAAGTTGAGATATAATCAGAATTTCAATTGATCTGAATTTTTCTAGTTTATCCATTTTCATCCAAAAAATTTTTTAGTGTCATTCTTTTTGCATATATAGAAAGTCCCTAAAATTCGGCATCACTCTTCCTGAGCATATAAAACAGACTAAACTAAGTCCTTTACCATTTTGTAATTTTCGTAATAGTTAACAAGATATTAATGATTAAAAATCGCTAAATATTGATTTTCAATAATTTTTCACTCAAATATTATCAATTTTACAGAAAAATAGCAAGAGATAAAAATTATTTATTTTTCTCTTATAAAGTTCTGAGAATTTTTTCAGAATTTTTTAATATCGTATTTTCTCATGGTGGTAAATAAGAAAATACTAATATAAGTTGATAAAAAATTCTGAAAAAATTCTTAGAGTTCTATGAGAAGAAAATAAATAATTTTCATTTAAGTTTCGTCATTAAGTTTTTTTGTCATCACAAGAAATATTTTTTTTCTTGTTAAGATCATGTAAATAATCCTTTCATTTTCTAAAAATTTTATTGAATAAATTTTATTATTTATTCCTTTTTTTTCATAGGCCCTTTTATGCCAAATTTTATAATACTATTTAATAATAATAACAATAGCAATATAAAAAAATTAAACATTTTATTTTTATTGTTGTAACTGTATTTTGTCTGTACTGTCTTCAGGAAAAAAAATAAAAGTTAGGTATGTATGATTTATAAAATCGAAATCGGAAACGAGGAAACATATAAGCTCTAAAATATTAAAAAAAAACAATTCAATAACAAAAATTGCTATTTATGTAATAAAAGAATTTATGTAATAAAAAAGGGTTTATGTAATAAAAGAATAAAATCCCCTTCCCCTCAAAAGAAAATCCTGGATACGCCCATGCAAGGAATGAACATTAACATTTTGTTAATTTCATCAAGTTTGAAAAACAAACATTCAATTATATCTCTAGCAAGCTGACGTCAAAATAAGCTACGTCATTTGACGTTAAAATGACGTTAAAATGACGTAGCTTACTGCCTTGGATGTTTGTACCATATTTTACATGAAATTAGACATTGCCTTTATGTGTATCTCGTAAGATTATCGTTTTCACAGATTTGCTTTTCGGCAAATTTATGATGCAATACGAATTGAGACACTCGTAAGATGTAAGATTTAAGGTAGGCGCAATGGCGTAGAAACGGCCAATACTCTGTTGATGGAATTGGAAAAAAAGCGCTGCTTACATTGAACATCTTAGAGTGTCCAAGTTCACGTCGAAAAACTGCAGAGCAGTACTTGCACTGTTTGCTAACTAAAGTCTGAACATGATCGTCTGGACATTGTTGAATGTTTATATTTCTCTCACGACAGCAAGAAAACTGCTGTGTCAATACAATAAGAAATTCCGCAAGAAATGCTGAAATGCTTTTAATGCGATCAGTTTTGACATTGCTTTGAGATTATTCATTGTTTTAGTGAAGAACGAAGTCCGTGAAATATCGATACAAAAAATGTTCAAATAGATTTTTCATTTCATTTATTTTTATCGCATTTGCTTTTGATTTTTCGTCGGTATTTTCAGAGACACGAAGAAGAAAGGATCGCGAATTGTCAGAATAAGTGTGTCCGCGCCAATGGGCGCGCGTGTTCGCGCGCGGCCGTCGCCAGCCGCTAGCGTCGCGTCAGTTCGATCGCGGAGCGACGAATCAAAGGGTAGGAGATGGTGGTGAGCGTGCCGGTGAGCGCGGTCATAAGAAACGAGCGGCAGCCGGCAGCGGCAGTTCGGCAATTGCGGCCCGGCACGTTAGGTGTATATGTGTATCTGTCGCGTGAGACGCTTCTTGCCACGTGGTGATACGCGACCGCGTGCGTTTGCAATTTCTTTCTTTTTCTGTTCTTTATCCATTTTCCGTTCTCGTTTATCTTCTTTAGCTTCCGCTTTCCCTCCGCCTTGACCACATATGTCACCGTTAACCGCATCGCATGCATTCGCGGTAGTGCCCACGCGGCACGCCGCGGCAACCGTTGCTCAAGCACTTCGAGTAGTCGCGTGAAAACGTGCGTGACACTCGCGCGCGCGCGCGTATACGCGCGTGCTCCGATTTCGAAAAGAACTTTTAACACGACGCACGGAAGATGCCGGACAAGGTAGCGCCGGCGGAAAAGTCGGTGTTGTCGCAGTCCAAAGATGCGAGATCCAACAGCGACGAAGGTATCAAATTGAAAAAAGAATTGGGTTTGTGGAACGGCGTGGCGATCATCGTCGGTATCATCGTCGGCGCCGGTATCTTCGTGTCACCCAAAGGCGTGCTTAGGAACAGTGGCAGCGTCGGCCAGGCTCTCATTGTCTGGATTTTTTCCGGGATCCTGTCGCTTATCGGAGCCCTATGTTATGCCGAGCTCGGTAAGTGATGAAATTTTGTAGAACGGTTGCTTTGAAATTTAAAATAACGCGCTCGACGTGGAAGGCGGGATTAGTATTCCAATTCCATAATGGCTCCCGCATACAGGACGTAGCAACACGCTGTGGAAGTTGGCGCAATCATCAACTAATCATATTTTTGCTTTTATGGAAAAGCGATAAATTGATTGGCTACTGATGTTCTGTGTGCAAGAGCTATAAAGTCCATTCTACAATTGCGTAAGCGTAGTTGTAAGTAGTTACAGTTGTAAGAATTAACCAATCACAGTCAAATATATCACAGGAAATTATTCGACTACGTTTACACAATTGTAGATCAGGCTTAAGAATTCTCCGTGATTTTAGAATGGCGTAAACGTAGTTGTAAGTGATCGTTGTAATAATTCACCAATTATAGTTGGATATTCTCCTCATCTTCAAGTGTGATTGATCAATTCTTATAATTACTAATTACGTTTTACAATTGTAAATCGGGCTTTACAATTATGCCCGCACTTACAACCACGTTTATGCAATTATAGATCAAGCTTAATTAAACGGCCTCCCCAGGACACTCAGAATTTCAGAAAACAAAATCTCGGAAAAATAATATGACCAATCAGAATTATTTAACCAATAGAAAATAGAATAAATGCCTATAATGGTCGAAACAGGATCTTTAATGCTTAAATAATTCAATGTGGATTTATATATACTACACTGAGAGAAAAATGTACTAAATTTTAAATAAATAATTGTTTAAATAGTACTAATATTCAGAAAATAAATATTTGCTAATAAAATATATAAATAAAATATATTGTAGTATAATATATAAATCAAATTAATGATTCTTGTACCAAATAAATATATGTTTACATTTCGTAAATATTTAATTGGCACTATTCGAACAAATATTTATTAAAATTTAGTACATTTTTCTCTCACCTCAGGAAAAAATGTTTTATGTATAATTATATAAAATTATAAATACTGTAATACAAAATTGACATATTTTATATATAATTATATTTATAATATGTCCATCATATAATACGTTTTTTTCTCTGGAGTGTACACTCAGAGA